GCTGGTTTTCTTCCTCAAAACATTTTCCTTGGACCATTTCATTCATAACCATGTGTTCAGTTACCAAACTAAGTACCAATTTTCCTAAATTTATACTTCCAGATCTTTTACCTTAGCATTAGTGATAAATTTACATTGGCCTAGCAGGTCGTATGAGCCATAAACACTTTAAATCCAACATGTCTAAAATAGAACTCATTATCTCTAGCAACCACCTCTCTTGTTTCCGTACTAGCAGCTGACATCGCTATGTATTCAGCTATCCAAACCAGAAACCTGGGAAGTCACCTCTGACAATTCCTTCTCCATTTCTAATATCCAGTCTGTCATTGGATGTGTTGATCATATCTCCTAAATGTCCCCTCATTCATTTCCTTTCCATTCATATTGTCTTAGTTCAGTAGTTTAGCATTTCTTGCCTGTCTATTGCAATGGTCTTTTTATTTTCCTTATAGCTGAAATCTTTCTCTTTTTTTTTAGTTTTTTAATAATAATGATCATAATTTTAGTATTGTCCAATTTATAAGCTAGTAAGTAGCAGAGCCAGGATTTGAAATCTTAACTTATTCTGCTTCGAAGGCTGTGGGCAAGTTTCTTACCTCTCTCAGATTCAGTGGGGCTATATGTAAAATGGAGATAATATTACTACCTACCTTGTATGACTGTTGTGAGGATTAAATGAACTAATACATCCTACCCATGGTACTGGACAAGCAGAGACAATCAGGACAACATTCAATTATGCTGGAATTCCAGCTGGCTTGGAGCTGGAATTTGAACCCTGTCATCCTGCCTCTGGAGCTGTACTCTTGTCCATTATGCTAATATGCTCCTCTCCTGTTTCAGAAGTGGGAAGTGCTGCCGGCAGTTTGACTTTTCTCAAACACAAATGTGATCATGTTATTTCCTTGTGTAAAAACTCTTAGGACTTCTATAATTCCAGTAAGACGCTCCTTCTACAGCCTTCATGTTTTGGTCTGCTTATCTATATTACCTCATCTCTGCCTTCTTCTTGTAACCCTAATGCATGGCAACCCCAACATATTTTTAATATCTGGAAATTTCCATGCTCTTTCTCGGTACTTTTACACATGTGATTCCTTCTGCTTGAAATGTGTTTTCCTCACTCCTAGAGAGTTCCTAATTGTCCTTTGAGATTCAGCTCAAATGTTACCTCTTTGGAAAACTTCCCTTAGCATACCTGAGGTAGATTTTGATGTGTCTGTCCCTGTACCGTCATGCACTATGAGCTTGTGTTTTAATTATTTGCCAGTTTCCTGTAGTCTGAGCTTTTTGAAGGTACTCATCTTTGTGGTCTTAGATCCTAGCTCAGTACCTGACACAAGAGCTCAATAAACTTACCTGTAACCAATGAATGAAATTTAAAAGAGTGTTTATGCTGTTTCCATGGTAGTCTCCGATTTTAGTTCATGGTAATGACTGCCCCTTGGTGTCAAGAGTCTGTTAGCACTTTCCTTCTCTACTTACTGATCTACCTACATCTGTGATTTGTAGAATCATAGAGTGTCAGTGTTGAAAGTGATCTGGGAGGCAATTTCTTCCAATACTCTATCAATTTAATTTTATATATTTTATCTCTAGATGTGTGTAGCTGCTTTTCCCATTGTGTCATATATCCTCTCAACTTTCTTCTTGTGGGAGCCTGTCTCTCTGCATCAGGCCAAGAAATCTCCCTTGATACCCAGGGAAGCAATTTCTTCCCCTTCTGTCAGCAACTTGCCAGCCTGTTAAAGATTAGGGAACTACACTCCCTGATACTGGCAGGTTTTATGACCTTTATTCTTTCTAATCTTGATCTTGTATGCTGAAGTGTTAGATTATTTTTCTATTCTCTTAAAATATTTGAACAAAAATGCTCTTTTTTTTTTCCAAATGAGATCTTATTAGGATCACTCTACCTATAAGCCAGAATCACGTTTTCAATTTCCCCATCACTTGGTTGCTTTTCAGCACATTCTCAGCTTGTGGCAGATTTGCAGAGAGCAGGCAATCATGGGAAAGTTCTCATGGAAATTTGTGTGTATATATGTACATGTGGATGGGGCTCATGGAATGGGGGTAAGTGGGAAGATACAGGAGAAAGAAAACTGCTCTAGCCTCTTACTCAACATGAAAGGCAGCATCATACAGTGGGAAAGAGAATTGGATTGTGGTTTTCTGTTCCCTAATGGTAACTTTCTTTTCATTTGATTTCAGGAAGTTATATATACAATAGTGTAAAATTAAAAAGTTACAAAAAAGTAACAAAAGAAAGCTTCTTTTCCACTCCTGACCCCTACTTCCCTTGCTATAGTAACCACTCCATTTTCTTATGTTTTCTTCCAGAGATATTCTGTGTATATATAAGCATAGTGGTATATCACTTAAAATATACAAATAATACTGTCTGTGTCTCTTGAACTTCAGTACTAACTTCTCTAAATTCCTAGATGGTAATTCTAATATATACCTGACAAAAGCCATAGGGATTTTGTGACAATTGATGAAGTAGTATTTGTGAACATGCTTGAAAATCAGGTATTTTACAAGTACAGGTTGGGGGGGAGGGCAGTCATGGGAGTAGTATTGCTCTACACAAAGGACAATGGGTCACCTGTGATCTGATTTGACAAGAGCAATTCTGAGTTGGTATCAGAGCTGTTGTGTCAGCAGCATCCTGCCTAACTCGCTTGGGTATGTTTCCCAGCCTAAAGTTCCTGTCTCTCTCATGGCGTGTTCTTGGGGTTTTCTACATGGCTAATCAAGAGATACTACTTGCACCTTAATTGTCAGGTGTGTATTCACTTGAGATAAGAAGTGGAAGCTTGCCAGAGTGTGGGACACCTCTGCTTCCCTCCCTCACCCCTCCTCTTTGCTTACTTTCATGTTCAGGGAGTTGATACTGGAACTTGGCTGATGCAACAGTTTGAGTCACGGTCCCTTGGTGCTGTGGGATCCATTCACTTTTAATTGGCAGTTGCTGGAATCATTTCTCCCTCCCTCACTCTGACTTCCTTTCCTAATTGGCTCTCAGGGGCCTCCAACTCCTGCTTTAATGAACCAGGGCAGAGATGCTGCATAGAGTCCGAAACTGGCACCTGGGGACCCCAAGTTCTTCTGCTATGACTCTGCTTCTTCAAGTTTCTTTTCTAACCTGTTAAAATAACTTTGTCTTTGCATTAGACCTGGGAGGATAGGGATCCTTTGATCATTGCTTTCACAGAGGCAGCTTGAATGGTGCCTAGACTTTGCCAACTACTGTGTTTGGCCCGAAGCTTTTTGTTCCTGCTAGCAGAGAGGGGAGAAGAAGAAGATATCTGATTGAACTGTCCAAAATGGGCCTGGTGAATGATGGGAGAAATGAGTAGATGAAAAAACCCTGCCATTTGAGGAATGTGAGCCTTGACCTTTTGATCCACAGACTGCTTCTCTATAGCAAAGAGCCTTGTGGGAAACTTACTTTGTCTGCTTCTGTTTGTCACTGTCCAAAGGAGAGTAAGCACTAGTTGTGCAATTTGGCCAATAATCATTGTTGGGTTACATTTTAAAAAATTATTCTTTTAAATAGACTTTATTTTTTAGAGCAGTTTTAGGTTCGCAGCAAAATAGAGTGGAAAGTACAGAGAGTTCCCGTACATCTTCTGCCCCGCCTCCCACTCTTCCCCCACTATCAGCATCCTGCATCAGAATGGTATATTTGTTACAGTCAATGAACCTACATTGACACATCATTATCACCCAAAGTCCGTAGTTTACTCTAGGGTTCACTCTTGATGTGGTACATTCTATGGGTTTTGACAAGTGTATAATGACTTGTATCCACCAATATAGTATCATGCAGAATAGTTTCACGGCCCTAAAAATCCTCTGTGCTCCACATTTTCATCCTTCCCGTCTCCTTAGCTCCTGGCAACCACTGATTTTTTTACTGTCTCCATAGTTTTGCCTTTTCCAGAATGTCATATACTTGGAATCATAGAGGATATAGCCTTTTCAGGTTGGCTTCTTGGGTTACATTTTTAAATGACATTTAAAAATAACTTTTAGTATGATTTTAAAGCTACAATAGAGAATAAACGTATTTCCTTCTGACATTCACAAGCACATTTCTGTGACCTCTTTTGAACAAATGGATACTGCTAAAGGAAATTGTCCTGGTACCAGCTCACCCTGGGAGAAGCAGTGCAGTAGTAGACTTGACTTTGAGTGCCTTATTACCAACATTCTTTGGCCAGGCCACAGTCAAAGTCCAGGATGGAAAGCACTTGTTTGAGGGTTGAATTGTGACCTTTGTACTGAATGATAGGATAGTTGTTAGCCTACGGATAAAGTTGCTGCAAGTTGCTACAAGGCTGTGTCTTGGGACAAGACCAAGAAAGCCACAGAAATCTCTGTCTATACAGTTTCGTCAGTGTTCATTGAGAACTTCATTCTACTTAAAGCAACCAGATGTGTATATTTTTATTACTATGTAATGTATAAGGGATTTGTAAATTATTATAAATATCTCCCAAGAGATTGTGCTCTCTTCTAGGTAGGAAATACGTCTTTCTAAAATGTGTCCCTAACTCTTGTATGGTGTCTATTTATGGTACACACTCAATAAATGTTGAGTGAATAAACATTATTCTGTTGTTGATTACAATTCTCTGGACATACGTTTTTCTATTCTTACTTTAGATTTAGAAGATCAGGTTCTCACATTTTTTTTTCATGTATTTTACATGTTTATATTGATAGAGAAGGTAAACAAAATGGCTACATGATCTGCTTATCTTTGCTCAGGTCAGGATGGCTATAGAAGACAGTAACCAGAATTCCATCAGATGAATATAGAAGTAGACCCAGAGTGCTGGGATTTTAGGGAATGGCCCTACTAGATGGGAGAGTGCATGGGTTGCCAGTGTGGTGAGAGAAAACTGTGCTTCCCAGGAGATAAGGAATCCCAGTAAGTGTCTAAGCCTACCAGTCCTTCCACCCTGTCTAGCTTTCTTTCTCTTTGTGCTCCTTTCCTGGTGCAGGCCATTTCCTCTTTGCCCTGCCAGGTGGTTGAACAATTGGGAGAAAGGACTATACCCTTTCTTTAATTTACTTGCCTGTTGCCGTAGCCCAATGCATAAGTTGGAAGCAAAGAAGAGGCCTCTTTCATTTCTTCACTGGTTCCTCCAAGACTCAGTCCCTGACTAAATTCATAGATGTTGATTGAACCCCTACACCAACACCTAGTATTGGATATATCAATATGGGAGTTTTAAGATCAATAATGTCATATAACTAGCGAGTGGTAAGCCTAGGCTTAAATCTAGGTCTCCTGAAATCCAGTCTAGTGCTTTTGACACTAAACCAGGCTGTTTTGTGGGGTTCTTATGTTAAAGTAAGATAGTGAAAGGAATTATGTGTTCTTGTTTAAACCCATGAAGAGAAAATGCAGGAAGGACTAAAATTCGAATAGTTAAGGTTAGAGTTTGCAGTGCCTAATTCTCCTTAGGTGTTTAGATTTAATTTTTAAATGTAGTTTTCCATATATTTAATGTTTATCCTTGCCTGTTTTATAGAAAAATGTCTAATTGAGGATAAAACCATCTTAATCCAGCCTTTCAGTAGACCACTTCTGTTGGATGTCTAGTTGCTCATATACAAGGACATAACCAATGTGACAGTTTATCTTAATATTAATTATCTTCCAAGTCTCTAGGAAGAAAAATGCAGCCAAAGTCAAACCTCAAAATGAAGGCAAATGTTATTCTAAAAAAAAAGAAAAATCTCATTAAACCAAGGAGGGCATTGAGTTGGTGGTTGTGGTATGTACTGTTGTGAAGGCTAGAGATGGTTGCCTGGGGGCAGTATGTTTGGAGAGCTGAGGAGAGAAAAGAATCAGCATAATATTGACAAGTTGTATTGATATAGAATCAACTTCCCAAGAGTTCATAAAGTTTTAAAGCTATAAAACTATTAATCTTCAAGAGTAGTTCTGGGAGGAGGAACTGAATTAGAGTAACTTAATTCCCCTAAGGTAGTACAGGGAATTATTGACTGAACAGATTTGCTGTCCCTTAAGGCAATGCTTAGAAAATAGTACACCAAGAAAATGATGTTTGTCTGACATGGTGGAATGAACTTAAAGGGATTTGGAGGCATCTCCATAGATTTTGGTGAAAAAATTCATTATATTTTTACCTTCTAAGAAAAAACTTTATATAATATGATTAACATTTATAACAAATTAAAATACATTAAATATTGAATTTCTAAATAAAATATTTTCCAAGTTTTAAATGAAAACTTTGGACTTGTTTCTGTGTAAGTTTTAAATATAGAACTTTTTAATATTAGTTTTTAAGCTTGGTGTAGTTCATCCAATTCCTAGTCAAGACTTTGATGATCTCCTCAAATTCTAGATATTCACCATTGATGAGAAATTTTCTTTGCATAAATACATGGTAGCAAATAGCAGAAGGTATATGTTACTTTTTCTCTTTTCTGGCTCTTAGCCAGAATGTGGATAATTCAGTTTCTTTGGATCATACTTAAGGGTGTGATCATTCTTTAAATCTCACAACTCTTCCTTTTCTGTCATTGACAAATCTAATGTTAAAAGGTCTTGTGAGGAAACTTAACATTACATTAACATCTAATCAAACTTTCTCTTATCAAGTATTTTAAAAAATGGTTAAAATTTTCCTTAAGCATACACTGATGTTGCTCTACTAGTCTTAATAAATATTTCTCAGGATTCAAATAATAATATCGACTATACATTACTAATGAACCACTTTTAAGCTTACTTTTTTTGAAGTTGAGTCTTTTGTTTTGAATCCATACACCCTGTCAGTACATCAGGATATTTTCATGTGGGCCTTGACATTTTTGAATTAGATTATTCAGGTGGTATAAATATCAGGTAAGCCATTTTTTAAAAAATAAACCTTTAATTTTCGAATACATTTAGATTTACAGAAGTTTCAAAGACAATACAGAGAATTCCGGTATATCCCTCACCCAGTTTCCCCCATTGTTAACATCTTACATGGTACATTTGTTAAAACTAAGAAACCAACATCGGTACGTTACTGTAACAGAACTCCATTATTTGGGCTTCACCAGTTTTCCATTAATGTCCTTTCTTTGTTCCAGGATCCAATCCAGGTATCCATTTAGTTGTCATCTCTCTCCAGTCTCCTCTGAGTCTGTGACAGTTTCTAAGTCTTTCCTTGTTTTTCATGACCTTGACAGTCTTGAGGAGTACTGGGCCTGATTTCTTGAAGAATGGCCCCCAATCTGGGTTTGATGTTTTTCCTTATGATTAGACTATGCTTATGGGTTTTAGGGAAAGATACAGAAGAGGTGAAGTGCCTTTCTTGTCACATCACATCAGGGGACATGTATCCACATGACACCACTGGTGATGTTAACCTTCATCACTTGGTTGATGTTATGTTTGCCAGGTTTCTCCACTGTAAAGTTGCCATTTTTCCCTCTCCCTAATATTCTTTGGAAGCAAGTCACTAAGTCTAGGCCTCCTTTGGGGAAAGGGGATTAAGTTCTACCTCCTGGAATTGGAATATTATTTGGAATTCTTCTGTAAGGAATATTTGTCACTTTTCTCTCATTTATTTATTTATTCAGTCATTTATTTATATCAGTTATAAAATATGAGTATATAAATATATATGTATAAAATATAAATATAAAATATATGACATATATGAATACAGACTCATATATATTTATTTCATACTTTGGATTATAATCCAATACCGCATTATTTATTTTGTTGCTCGAATTGTTCCAGCTTTGGCCCTGAGAGCTCTTTCAGTTTGGCTTCTGTGTTCTTTTGACATGTCTCCCTCTGTTTGCTTTTTGAGTATTTAGTTTATTTCTGATACTACAAGATGCTTTAGGTTCATCTTGTATTTTCCCTGTCTCAGTCCCAGAATCAGTCATTTTTCCAAGGAGCGCTGGTGCCTTTTTTTGAAGAATAGTATTTAGACACCAAGATCTGGGTGTGGGGGGTGTTTATTGCTGCTGGGGTGTTGTTGCTTTCAGGTCCTTTCAGCAGACAGAGCTACATAATGTATATGTATGTATACTACACCACGTATACACACATATCTATAATTATTTCTATATTTATTCATCTGTATATATATTCAGATAAGTATGAATTCATACTGCTGTCTCTATTGATACTAACCAGTAACACAGAGTTCATTCTTGTCTTGTTTTCTTGCTCAACTCTAATTCCCTCTCTGATAGTGTGGCAGGCTGAATAATGGCCCTACAAAGATATCTACCTCCTAATCCCCATAACTTGTAAATATATTACTTTATGTGGCAAAAGGGACTTCACATATACGGTTAAGGTAAAGATATTGCCGTGGGGGAGGTTATCCTGAGTTATCTGTAATTACATGGGCCAATGTAATTATAAGTGTGCTTATAAGAGGGATTCAGGAGGGTCAAAAACAGAGAAAGTAATGTGATGACTGAAGGAGGGAGAGAGATAGAGATAGAAATAGAGATAGAGATTGGAAGATGCTATGCTGCTAGATTTGAAGATGCAGGAAGGGGCCATTAGCCAAAGAATGCAGGTGGCCTCTAAAAACTGGCAAAGGCAAGGAAATGGATTCTCCCCTAGAGCCTCCAGAAGGAAGCATCCCTGCTGACACCTTGACTTCACCCTAGTGAGACTGATTTTGGACTTATCTCCAGAAGTATAAGTTAATACATTTATGTTGTTTTAAACCACTAAGTTTGTGGTAATTTGTTACAGCAGCAATAGAAAACTATTACAGACAGCAGGAAATCTGGCTCCTACCATCCACCATTCATTTACTTATTTGTTCAACCCCACTGTAGATGTGAAGCAGTTGTAGAATTGTTAATCACACCCATGTAAAAAATTTACCAACTAGAGTACAGTGTTTATGTATAATTGCTTTTGCCTTTAGCCTTATAATTTCCAGTCAGAACACCATTTTGCAAAGTTACAAGGTAAGCGTCTCTTTTCTCTACCCTGTTCAGTGCAGTTACTTCACACATTTGTAATACAGTTAGATTCATTTGTCACAGTTTGCATTCCATCTTGGGATACCCATACATCCTGGTTGATCCTTTTTTGGTTTGCATACAAGAAGTTCAATTTCTGTGATGTGCAGTTCTATGGGTTTTGACAAATGTATAGAGTCGTGTATCTACTACCCACCCCATTACTGTACAAAAAAGTTTCTACACCCTAGAAGTCCCCCTGTGCATTCCCTTTGTGGTCAACCACTTCCCTTTCCTTCATCCCCTGGCAATCAGTAATATGATTTTTTGTCCCTATAGCTGTGCCTTTTCCAGAATATCATATGAATGGAATCATACAACATGTAGTCTTTTGAGTTTTTCTTTCACTGTCTAAAATGCATTTGGGATTGTCCATGTTGCTACATGATTCAGTAGCTCATTCCTTTTTTTTTTTTTAATCACTGAATAATATTCCATCTTATGGACATACCAAGTTTATCCACTCCTTTGTTGAAGGACGCCTTAGTTGCTTCCAGCTTTTACTGACTATGAATGAAACTGCTATAAACATTTGTAAACAGATTTTTGTATTGACATGAGTTTTCAAATCACGTGGGTAAATACTATGGTGTATGATCGTTGGGTCATATGGTAAGTGTATGTTTAGATTTATAAGAAACTGCCAAACTGTCTTCCAAAGTGGTTGTGCCATTTTGCATTCCCACTAATAATGAATGAGAGTTTCTGTTATTCCACATCCTTGTTGGTACTTGTTATTGTTCGTATTTTGGATTTTAGTCATTTTAATAGATGTGTAGTGGTAACTCATTGTGGTTTTAATTTGAATTTCTTTTTTTTTTGTATGAATTTTATCTATTTATTTTTTTCCATATTTTTTTATTGTGGTGACATTGGGTTATAACATTATATAAATTTCGGGTGTGCATCATTACATATTGATTTCTGTGTAGATTACCTCATGTTCACCATCTGAGGACTATTTACAATCCATCGTGATAGACATGTACCTAATCACCTCTGTCATCCTCCTCCCTCCCCCATTCCCCTTTGGTAACCACCAATCCGATCTCTGTCTCTGTGTGTTTGTTTGTTGTTGTTTTTATCTTGTATTTATGAGTGGGATCATACAGTATTTGACTTTGTCCCTCTGACTTATTTTACTTAGCATAATACCCTCACGGTCCATCCATATTGTCACAAATGGCCAGATTTCATCATTTTTTTATGACTGAATAGTATCCATTGTGTATATATACCACATCTTCTTTATCCATTTGTCCCTTGTTGGGCACTTAGATTGTTTTTATCGTAAATGGATGCTGTATCTTGTCAAATGCTTTCTCTGCATCTACTGAGATGATCATGTGATTTTTATTCTTCATTTTGTTAACGTGGTGTATCATGTTGATTGATTTGCTGATGTTGAACCATCCCTGCATCCTGGGAATAAATCCCACTTGATCATGGTGTATGATCTTTTTAATGTGTTGTTTTATTCTATTTGCTAGTATTTTGTTGAGGAATTTTGCATCAATGTTCATCAGCGATATTGGCCTGTAATTTTCTTTTTTTGTGTTGTCCTTGTCTAGTTTTGGTATCAGGGTAGTATTGGGTTCATGGAATGCGTTAGGAAGCTTTCCCTCCTCTTCAATTTTTTGGAAGAATTTAAGAAGGATAGGTATCAAGTCTTCTTTGAATGTTTAGTGGAATTCACCTGGGAAGCCATCTGGTCCTGGACTTTTATTTTTGGGGAGGTTTTTGATTACTGTTTCCATCTCCTTACTGGTGATCATTCTATTCAAATTGTCTATTTCTTCTCTATTCAATTTTGGAAGGTTGTATAATTCTGAGAATTTATCCATTTCTTCTAGATTATCCAATTTGTTGGCATATAGCTTTTCATAGTGTTCTCTTCTAATCTTTTGTATTTCTGAGATGTCCGTTGTAATTTATCCTCTTTCGTTTCTGATTTTACTTATTTGAGCCTTCTCTCTTTTTTCTTGGTGAGTCTAGCTAAAGACTTGTCAATTTTGTTTATCTTTTCAAAGAACCATCTCTTAGTTTCATTGATTTTTTCTATTTTTTTAGTCTCTATTTCATTTATTTCTGCTCTGATTTTTGTTATTTCCTTCCTTCTACTGATTTTGTGCTTTGTTCTTCTTTTTCCAGTTCCTTTAGGTGCACTGTTAGATTATTTGAGACTTTTCCTGTTCGTTGAGCTAGGCTCGTATTGCTATAAACTTTCCTCTTTGAACTGCTTTTGCTGTATCCCATAAATTTTGGCATGTCATATTTTCATTTTCATTTGTCTCCACGTATTTTTTGATTTCTCCTTTGATTTCTTCATTGACCCAATCGTTGTTCAATATCATTTTGTTTAATCTTCACATATTTGTGGATTTTCTGATTTTCTTCCTGTAGTTGATTTCTAGTTTCATACTATTGTGGTCAGAAAAGATGCTTGGTATTATTTCAATCTTCTTAAATTTATTGAGACTTGTTTTGTGGCCTAATATATGATCTCTCCTGGGGAATGTTCCATGTGCATTTGAAAAGAATGTGTATTCTGCGGTTTTTGGATGAAATGTTGCATATATATCTACTAAATCCAACTGGTCCAATGTGTCATTTAAGTGCAATGTTTCCTTATTGATCTTCTGTTTGGATGAGCTGTCCATCGGTGTAAGTGGAGTGTTAAAGTCCCCTACTATTGTTGCATTGCTATTTCTCATTTTATGCCTGTTAATAATTGCTTTATATATTTCAGGTGCTCCTATGTTGGGTGCATAGATAATTGCAAGTGTTATTTCCACTTGTTGGGTTGTTCCCTTTATTATTCTGTAGTGCTCTTCTTTGTCTCTTGTCACAGTTTTTGTTTTAAAGTCTATTTTGTCTGATCTAAGTATTGCTATGCCAGCTTTCTTTTCATTGCCATTTGCATGGAGTATCTTTTTCCATCCCTTCACTTTCAGTTTGTGAGTGTCTTTAGGTCTGAAGTGTGTCTCTTTTGTGCAGCATATATATGGTTCTTGTTATTTTATACAATTAGCCACCCTATGCCTTTTGATTGGAGCGCTTAGTCCATGGATATTTAAAGTAGCTATTGATAAGAAAGTACTTACTGCCATTTTTAAACTTTTTTTCTGGGCATTTTAGTTCTTCTCTGTTCCTTTCTTCTTCTCTTCCTCTCTTCCCTTGTGGTTTGATGGCTTTCTTTAATATTATGTTTGGTTTCCTTTCTCTTAATTTTTTGTGTATTTATTACAGGTTTCTGTTTTGTGATTACCATGAGGTTCATATATAATAACCTACATATATAGCAATCTATATTAAGTTGATGGTCTCTTTAGTTTGACATCTTGCTAGAAGCTCTACTTATTTACTCCCCTCCTCCTACATTTTATGTTTTTGATATCATATCTAACCTCTTTTTTTGTGCATGTGTATCTGTTACACTCTTATCAAGGAAATAGATAATTTTTGTACTTTTGCCTTTTGACCTTTATATTAGCTTCGTATGTGGTTGATCTGCTACCTTTATTGTATATTTGCCTTTACTAGTGATTTTATTTATTTATTTATTTTTGATAATTTTCTTATTTCTATTTGTGATCTTCTCTTTTCCACTTAAATAAGTCCTTTTAGCATTCCTTGTAAAGCTGGTTTCTTGGTGATAAACTCCTTTAGTTTTTGCTTGTCTGGGAAATGTTTTATCTCTCCTTTCAGTCTGAATGATAACCTTGCTGGGTAGAATATTCTTGGTTGTAGGTTTTTTCCTTTCAACACTTTAAATATATTGTGCCACTCCCTTCTAGCCTGTAAGGTTTCTGCTGAGAAGTCAGGTGATAACCTTATGGAGTTCCCTTTGTATGTAACGTGTTACCATTCTCTTGCAACTTTTAGGATTCTCTCTTTTTCTTTATTATTGACATTTTAATTATAATGTGTCTTGGTGTGGGCCTCTTTGGGTTTATCTTGTTTGGTTCTCTCTGCACTTCCTGTACCTGGATGTCTTTTTCTTTCTTTAGGTTAGGAAAGTTTTCAGCTATTATTTCTTCAAATAGATTCTGTGCCCCTTTGTCTCTCTCTTCTCCTCCTGAGACACCTATGACATGGATGTTAGTGCGCTTGATGTAGTCCCAGAGGTACCTTAGACTGTCCTTGTTCTTTTTTTAAATAAACAATTTGTACATTTTATTTATTTATTTTTTTCCCCCAAAGCCCCAGTAGATAGTTGTATGTCATAGTTGCACATCCTTCTAGTTGCTGTATGTGGGATGTGGCCTCAACATGGCTGGAGAAGCGGTACGTCAGTGCGCACCCAGGATCCGAACTCGGGCCACCAGCAGTGGAGTGCGTGCACTTAAACACTAAGCCACGGGGCCAGCCCTGTCCTTGTTCTTTTTAATTCTTTTTTCTTTTATCTGTTTAGCTTGGGTGATTTCCTCTAGTCTTTCTTCCAGCGTGCTGATCTGTTCTTCTGTATCATCTGTTCTGCTATTGAGTCCCTCTAGTGAATTTTTCATTTCTGGTATTGTATTCTTCACTTCTGATTTGTTCTTTTTTATATTTCCCAATTGATTGTTGAAGTTCTCACTGAGTTCATCCTTTCTTCTCCCAAGATCAGTGAGCATCCTTATGACTCTTTGTTTGAACTCTTTGTCTGGTAGATAGTTTATTTCTGTTTCATTTAGTTCTTCTTCTGGGGTTTTGTGCTGTTCCCTTACTTGGAACATATTCCTTTGTCTCCTCATTTTGCCTATTTCTCTGTGCTTATATCTATGTATCTATGTGTTGGGTAGGTCAGCTACATCTCCTGCTCTTGGAGAGATGGCCTTATGTAAGAGATGCCTTATGAAGCCCAGCAGTGTGCTTCCCTCTCATCACCAGCTCCAAATGTTCCTGGAGTGTCCCCTATGTGGGCTACATGTGTCCTTCTGTTGTGGCAGGGTTGCTCATGCTGCAGGTGCCTGAGGAGGTTCGGCTGTCCCCCTGGCTGCCTGGTTGTAATGCTCAGCTGTGTGCGGCTGCTATGGTCCTTTCAGTCACTTTATTGGGCATGAGGAACCCCAGCACAGTTGGATGCAAGGTCTAATAGCACATTCCTGTGTCAGTTTTTCTGTTAAGTGAGTAAGCCCCCAGTGTGGCTGGTTGCTAGGCTCAGGGGCTTACAATTGCTTCAGGCCTCCAGCCTGCAAGGCTGCTGTCTCCTCTCTCATGGTTGCGGCTTAGCGGGGTCAGCCACAGGCCTGGGAACACCCAATTATTTCAGGCTTTGGAAGGTGGGGCCGATCCCCTATGTGGCTGTTTGAGAAGCACAAGTCTGCTGCAGCTGATATGCCCCACTGCCCACAAGGCCACATACGCAGTCAATACAGTCCTGCCCTGTGTGTGCACCTCTATCCACTGAAGTGGACTCACTCGCCCTACTGCAGGGGCCCCACACATTCCACCAATGCAGGACCATTCCTCATGCAAGCCCTGCCCTACACAGGAGGACCCACTCACCCAGCCGCAGAGGTTCCAGGCACCCTGCCTATGCGGGCCTACAGTTGCTGAGGGCTTGCTGTTGGGTGGGGCTGGTTCCTAGGGCAGGCTGCCTACCCTGGCTGAGCTGGATTAAATTGATGCCCTAGTGGGTGGGGCAGACCCCTGGGCTAACAGGCCAGGGGAAGAACTCCAATGTCATCTGCCAGCATCTATGTCAGCATGCCTGTACTAGGTCACAATAATGGCTGCTTCCAATGTCTCAGTCACTGGAGAAGTCTCACCTCTCACCAAGATTCACCCAGAGTGTATCAGGTGAGTGTCTTTTCACATTGCCTACTGGTGATTTTAGGTTGCTTTCCAAAATGAGTGAATTTGTGCTTGGGACCTTTAAGAGCAGGCTCTTTTTCCCCCTTATATCCGATAGCTTTTCTGGGGGTACTCCCTGTTGTTGTTAATAGCCAGCAGAGCCAGGTATTATGACACTTGTCTCAGTTGTGCTGAGTGCAAAAGCTGCTTTTTGTGGTAACACCCCTCCCCCGCCATCAGATCCTCCATTCCTCCAGGGAAGGCTTTGTACCTTAAGGTTGCTTCTAGCTGGCCATGAGGTGCCACAGCTAGATGGTGGCTCTTTTCTCTCCAGAAAGGAATTTCTGCTTCTTCCACCCCAGTCAGCACTGTCCCTTGTTGCAAGGGTTCTTTTTATCCAGTTTTCAGTTCTCTCTCAGGGGTAATTGTTCCAAGAGGAGTTATAAATTCATTGTGTCCATGGGAGGAGGTGAGTTCAGAGTCTGCCTCTGCCACTATCTTGACACTGTCTCTCTAATTTGTATTTCTTTAATGACATATGATATTGTGCATCTTCTCGTGGGTTTATTTACCATTCATATATTTCCTTCAGTGAAGTGGCTATTTCACTGATCTTTTGCCCATTTTTAATTGGGCTGTTTGTTTCCTTAATATTGAATTTTGGGAGTTTTCAAAAGTTGATAACTGATACATCTTCAAGTGACAATCATTCACATTTTTCCCCATTGTTATATCATCTCATAAACTCAGGGCATTTGCCCCCTAAATCCCAGCCAGCTCAACAGCCTGGAACTCTTATCTCTGCTATTTCTGCCCAGTGAGATTTCTGCTCCCTGTTTGAGCTCCACCTCCCTGTACCATAGCCCTTAAAATGTTCTTGGGGAGAAAGCCTGGGTAAATGTGGGGCTTATCTTGGGTCCCTCCCCTATCTAAAGAATTTCAGCCCTGCTTTAGTTGCTGTACAATGCCTGCAAGCAATTGTTTTCTATATTGTGTCCAAATTTTAAAGTTATTTATGGTGGGAAGATTAATCTGATAATGGCCATTTCATCATAGCCAGGACCAGAATGACTCAGCTTTCAGAAAGCTCCAGAAACTCACTTTCATCAAATCATATAAGTAGTTAGACTCTAGAAGGACTAAAATAAACCAATCAAATTGCAAGAGTGGCATAAATTTCTTTATTTGGGTAACTGCTCACGAATCTTTTTCCTGTCATTGTAGCTGCATCATCAGAATATACTCATACTCAAAATTGAAACCCAAACCACATTTGTTGACAATGTAATCCCTCAAAGTTATATACAATTTAGAGTTAATTGTTTTGTCAGGAATGAAGCCAAAAGAAATAATTCCTTCTTATATCACCATCATATTCAAGTTGCACATATACAAAAGTAATTGCCATTTTAGCAATAGATGTACATTCAAGTTGCATGAAAAAATAATTTGCTAATTTTATTTATTCTATGACCTAGTTCTTTAATACATTGAGCTCTGGAGTCATTGAAAAGTGGTACTTGGTTTTCAAGGTTTGCTAACACGCATCTTTGATACAGTCGTTCACTAATGACTCAGCAATTGTATATGTTTTCTTTGTTTTAGCAATTCAAAATGCCTTTGTATAAGAAGATCTCAAAGCACTAATGTTCATATGGAATATTGAACATTTGCTTTTTTCTGATTTTTAATTCAATAATATTTCTCTAAAAAATCTTTTGCTTTTTATCTTATTTCTTTATGTTTTGTACATGTAAAAGATACTTAAAGTTTTTATGGTTTCATTAACTAATATATCTCTGAAAACAACTCACTGTGGTTTTGGTACTTCAAGCTCAATTGTAGCTGTATAATTAAAAATATATGAAGGTTCATACTTCTGAGTAAACTGGCATGAACTCTTAGTCTTCATTTCATGGAAAACATTTCCATTGTTATCATGTGGCTTACTACTATGGCTGCATTCAGAAAGGATATGTCTTTCCTTGAAAAAGACTCCAGTAAATCTTGTTTTGCCATAAATAAATTAGAGTTAAAAATAAATCATATATATTATGTTTCTAAAATTTAACTTATATTAAACGATACATTAAAATTATTGTAAAACCAAGTTGTAAAAATAAATGTGTATATTTTCTCAAATTTTATATATTTTTGGGTTATAATTTACAAGCAAATCTTTAAAAAAGTCCTGTTTTAATGTGGTTCTCCTGTGCATGACTAGTATATACAGACAGTATTACAACACCGAAACTGGTCTACCTCCTGTTCAAGGAGATGAGTCCATTGATCATGTACTTGGATGTTACAACAATTTTGAATTGCTATAAAAGTTTCTACAGCTTCCTCTCAATTTCTGTTCTTTTCTTGTTGTGGACCATACTTTGAGAAGAACCACCCTAGATCAGATCACTATTATATCTTCTCTCATCATTATATCTACTGCAATACCCTTATAACTGATCCACTGTCTTCAATTTTGATCTCTCTCTAGTGGGTTCTTCGTCCTTTAGTTATCTTGATCTTTTTTTTTTTTTTTTTTTTTAATTACAGTATTAGTTTATGGTAACTGCATGGGACTATTTCAGCAAGAAATAAGTCCC